CAGGGGTACATATATGCTGAAAGTTTGGGAAACACTGCTCTATAGTATACATGACTCATATGAACGATTATTACAAATTAAGAGGTTAGTTATAAGAAGTAATGAGAATGGAAAACATATATTTATATTGATAAAGAAACGAATCATACCTCAAATTAAAACTAATAGATCATATTTGAAGCTAATGACTACACATTTATTCTTAATATTATACATTTTGAGATAAACTTATAGCACTATTATAATTCTCTTTTAAAATATTTCTTTTAAGTAGCAAACCGACCCTGTAAATTAAGTTGCCTAACACTCAAACTAAAAATCACTGAAAATACACCATTCAAAAGTAATTTCACAATCATCTTTAAAAAAATCCTTTTCAAACGTTTCCACACAACGTTCTTAAAAATATAACCTCTTCATTTACGATTAAAGGACTGATTAAAGAGTAAATAAAGTGATTTTTTGAATTTATTTTATTTTTCTTGTGTGTCGACATCATTCAAACACCTCTCGAAAATCCAAGACTTTACCGATAAGATGTTCCTAATCAGTAAAAAAACTGTTTCACGTGAAAAGTGTCTTGCTCACCGGGCAAAAGAGAATTGTGTGTTGACTTGAACCGATAAACCAAGATTTATTGATAATAAATAAATTTCGAAATAACGCTCATAAACTTAATAACTTTTTGTAATAAAATATAAAGACGAAAACGTCACGTGAATTAACTCCTCTACAGATGACGTAATTATTATTACTGCATTCATTCATGTTTAGACAAATTACGAAAATGCAAATTAATTTTATCTTATTTATGAATTGACTCGAATAAAATATGAAGTTTGATGAAAAAGTTTAAGAAGAATATCGCCAGTATGTTATTTTCAAAGAAAAAGAATTAATAGATTAACAATGGAGGATTACAGAGAATTACAAGATTAGATAACGTGCGAATTGTACATTAGACATCTTGAGAACTGTGATTGTTTGACACAATGGTCATGTGTCATTTAAAATCCGGCGAAAATCGTAGTAAAAAACGGAAAATAATAGTAATTATAAGAAAATAGAAAAACCAGTGATGATTCTTATACGTAGGAATTTTATGATCGATTAAATCTTGTAATCGTTAATAAGAGAAGAAGGAAACTCCAAAACCAATTACTATTGTTGTGCGTTTTTTTATTGTTTATAATTCGAAAAGATGATTAAAACATTAATATTTTCTTGGTATATTAAAACGAAATATAATCTTAAAAAGATGACAGTTAAACTGTCAATTGATGTTTTATGAAATTTTTATTAACTACATATTTTAATAACTCAAGCGATTAATTAAACGATTTCAAGTTTTTTTTTTGCAAAATTTTAATCGCAAAAGATTTCATGTAACAAGAAATAAATTGAAAAAGATGTTATATGTTCGTTAGTACTTTCGCATTTTTACAGTTGGTAGTCTTAAATAAATGTCACACAACTTATTTTTGACAGATTCCATTTTTAACACCAAAAAATACTCTCAATGCAATAAATTTTTTATTTTGTTTTAAAAATTCCCTTTTCAAGAATTTCGACAACACATTTTCCATGCTCAAGTTAAATATATCATTGTTTGTAATTATGTTTATTTCTTTCAAATCAGCTTAGATTTAAACTTTGAAGAGGAGCATTCTGCATCCTGGGTGATGGACATTTCTGATGGGATTTTCGTGTATAGAGCCCTGAATCCCGGACACGGGCGTCGATGGCATGACGCAACCACCGCCGAGTATACGATGGTGGGAGGCGACGCGAAGAGCCTCCTCCTCGGCGCAATCGAGACGCGGATGGCAGCTCGTGTGGCCGCGGAATCTTCGCCAACAGGAGGAGGAGGAGGAAGCCGCCGACGTCGTCGTAGCCTTCGTTGCCAATCGATCCAAACCGGTAAGTCTCAAATTCATCATCACATCGTTCCTTATCAATGCATTGTTTTTACTTTTACATAAATACTTCTTCGTCAACACTTGCGCCTCCACCTTCCTCATCGTCGCCGCCGCCCCTTTTTTTCATTCCCTCCACCACGCTCTCGTTTCGTTCGGGAATCGGGCGTTTTGTATGTATAAAACCCGAGGGACTTTCTGCGCATGACTTCTATGGGTCTCGTAAGGTGTTCTAAACGATCTGAAAGCGCCTCATGTTCACTGTCTATTGATAAAACAAATATATTATCTGGTTTGGGAATGTTTATAAATACAAAATCAAAAAAAAAGGATGGAATAAGAAAAGAAAAATGACGTTAGGGATGGCTTAAATAATTATTACAGAGAAATTTTCATTTCTTACGATTAAACGTAAGGTTCTTTGCAGTCGAGTTGGAACGGTAGCGTGGTTGTTGATAAGGTTATCAGGTAGATTAGCGCGTTTGAGGACCAACAATATTACTTGCTCGAACTGTATGTTCTGAATACAAGGCGTTACATTCAATTTATTATTAAGTGATTTCTTAAATCAAATGAAATTTTTGTAATTTTTTAAATTGAGTCGGTAAAATAGAAAACTCATCGCTCTTAGTAACAAAATGTGTCTTAGAAAATAAATGTATCTATATTTGCTTTAAATTTTTCAAAACGGCGACGACCTTCAACATACACACAATGTCCAAGTCTACGTGGAAATATATTTGCAACAAATATTCGGCCTTGTGCATGCTCGGATAAATTATAGTATGCGCTTTAAGTTTACTATAGTTTGTTCGAAATTTACAAATATTATTATATATAAAAGTGTGACCTTAAAATCGTCATGCCATAAATTTTGTTAATTAAAAATGTTACATTAAATATTTAAGGTCTTTATAGTGACAAATTTAAATTCACCTTTTTCAATTCTTAAATGAATTTATCAAGCTACGTGGGTTTACAATCTCAAGAATAAAAAATATAAAATTCATTCCACATCCAATGATAACCAAGCAATTAACGCCAACGTTTGTGTACAAAAACCACATTTTTATGTATCATTAAGAAAAATGAAATTAAATCTTTATAGCAAAAAGTTTATTATAGTTCTTAAGACTCATGTTCCAGTTAATCATTTTCAACAACGACATATTGACGAAATCGTCATCGCGTTGCAATGGTTTGTTGGTTATCTATGACCTTGGACGTTCGCGGTTTGTATGTATGCTCGCGTAAACCAGCTTCTAAATCCACTTCTCAATTATTAGGAGTTATGGCACCGTATTGTTCTCTAGGATTAGGGAGTAATTAGATCTAATGACACTGATTCATTTCATATTTACATTCTTTCGAGTATACTTAGTCTTTTGAAGCTTTTTTTTATACACATCGCTAATTGTACCCGACAATTTCTTTAGTAAACTTGTTTTGTAACCAAAACGGAAATTGACGATAATAATTTTTTGAATAGTTTCATTTAAATGCACGTGTCGTTTCTTTAATTTATTTTATTTGTATGTATTTCTTATAAAAATAAAACAAAAATTGACCATGACATTTTTGATGGCATCTTCATCGATGATGGACTTCTTGCGGTATTGAATATAGTCGACAACGATTTCTCTTCATTTGAATTGGATATGCGTAGCTCATTTTACATAAGAACTGAGGTCTTTTAGTAGAGGCCACAACTTTTTTGTCTTCTTCACCTTTTCTTCTTGATTTTTCAATTGATATTCAAACTAAACCGTTATCTGACACCGTGATAATAAACTAAATCTATCGATACAGAAATCTTCAGTGTATTTTTAAAAACCTTCTTTTAAGAAAGATTCTTTGTATTGACACATGTTTGAGTTCTAGATTTACCTTGAAATTTTCTTGTACAATTCCCATTTTAACCAAACAAAGGGAGCCACTGTAAAAGATTTTACTCTTCGGCTCTGAATATACGAATTTTAACGAGTTTTTTTTGTTGTTGTTACTTTGTGAATAATCTTGAAAAACTTGAGTATTAGTTATTTATGGAAAATAATACATATAAAAGTTTATTTTCTAAGCTACTAACGAAAATTATTACTAGCAAAATAACAGAAAATTGCATATATGGCAAAGATGCCATATACATACCACGACAATTGATTGACAAGTTATTAGAGTACAACAAATCTTTGTACCTTTGCTTCTCCCTCTCTATCTCTCTAAGTCAGTGTTTCCCAAACTTTCAGCATATACAGGTGTTCATTTCAAAACTTTCCACCTCAATTTCTGTAAATCCGGAGTTTAAAAAAAGTAAAGAATAACTAAGAGAAGAACTAAATATCTTTGACAGACGCCAGGCAAGCTAGCCAACGTAGGTATATCATTGTCAAAATAACCTAAATATCAAAGATTTCCGATTGCTCCGAAATAATAAAGGTTTAATGGTCGTTGTAAAAACGAACATGGTAATTTAATTTTATAAATTAATAATAAAAGATTACTTATTCTTGCTTTTAAGAAGGTGATTAAAGTTTTTAATATTAATTAATTTGGGAAATACAAAACAAAGATTTTCGCAAAAATTTCGAAAACGATTCGATCAATTTAAAAAAAAATAAATACTAACATGTAGTACCTTAGAAGACCTTTAAAATGAGGTATCACTTGACACCCCTTTCCATTTAAGATTTTTAAGGGGTTGGTTTCTGGCGGCGGGGGGTTGAAGTGAGTTTTGCAAAAAAAGTTGTCCCCCTTGGTTTTATTCTTTACCTATTTCAGCGAATTTCTTTTTAAACTTCCGGATTTACAGAAATTGAGGTGGAAAGTTTTGAAATGAACACCCTGTATGTACCCCTGTTGTAATTATCAAAACTTCCAATAACCCTCGTTAAAAAAAATGTTCTTTTAGCATCAACCAAAAAATAAATATTATATTAGTTCTTTGTAATACAAAAACAAAATAATAATAATAATAAAACAAAATGGATAATAATAAAGTATAATAAATAAATGTAATAATAATAACATTAACGAAAGCATCAGTGAGATGGATGAATTTGTTTATGTTGAGATGATGCCAAATGATTATAATTTTAATCGAAGATGCGGCTCCACATCCAAAATCCTGCTTCTTTTTTTCGACTTAATATCGACTAATGCTGAAAACGCAACTTCACATAGATATGATGTTGGAAATGGCAAAACATGTTTTAACACTTTTTCTGTTAAATTCGGATATAGTTGTTGCATTTGCAGCCAAAAAGATGCTAAAGAACACTCTTTATGTTTATTTTTCAAAAATCCGTCTGCATATAACTCCAAGAGCTGTTCTTGTTCCACATTAGATAAATTATCTGGCATGGCAGATGAATCAATATTAAACGGATGTCTTATCCATTCGAGGTTTGTCGTTAAATCCGGAAAATAATTTTTCAGGTTCTCTTGTAATCCGTCCAAATGTTCTGTTAAACATTTCAGAACATCCGTATCAATTTTATCAGATGATTTTATTACAAACTCGTGAAGAGAGGGAAACGAATCTAGCTCTCCATTATTAACTCTAGTTTTCCATAACTTTAATTTTTCAATTGTAGCGTTTACTTCGTCTTGGACATGAAACAATGAAATATCTTTACCTTGTAATGATAAATTGAGTCCATTTAAAATAGAGAATATATCTGCTAAGTATGCCAGTTTGGATAGCCACGTTGAGTCATGTAGACACTTTTTCAGTTCAAATTTATCATTAAGAAAAACTTGAAGTTCTTGTCTCAGTTCAAATAATCGACTTAAAATTTTTCCCCGAGATAGCCAACGTACATCAGTATGAAAAAGCAGTTGGGTATGGCTGCTTCCCATTTCTTCACACATTTGTGCAAAAAGTCTTGCGTTTAAAGGTCGACCTTTAATATAATTAACGATTTTCACGCTTTCATCAAGAACTTTTTGCAGATCAGCAGGCATCTTACGTGTTGCCAAAGCCTCTCTGTGAATGCAACAATGTGTGGACTTGACATTTGGTGCAACCTTCTGAATTTTTGCAATGAGTCCTTTATTAATGCCGACCATACTTTTTGCACCATCTGTACTTATTCCAACACATTTAGTCCAACTAATTTTGTTATCTTGCATAAATTTATTCATAACGTTAAAGTTATCTTCTCCTGTTGTATGACCTAATAAAGGCTGGCAAAATAAAAAGTCGTCGTGAATTTCTTGGTTCTTTTCGTATCTAACAAACGCCATAAGATTTGCAAAATTTGTGAAATCAGTGGACTCATCGACTTGTAATGCATAATAACGACTTTGAGAAATATTAGACAATAACATCTGTTTCATATTATTGGCCATATCAATTATTCGTCGATGAACTGTATTATTTGACAAGGGTACACGATCAAGAGTTTGTTTTGCTTTATCACCTATCATTACTTCTGCACTTATTTTGGCAGCCGGCTTGATTAAAGCTTCGCCAATCGTCTCCGCTGCACCACATTTCGCAATTAAAAGCGAGACGCGATATGAAGTTTCTAGGATTTTTTGATTGTCACCTCCTGTTAAACCTCTCATTACTTTTTGAGATTGATTTAAATCTTTGCGTTTATGTCCAAAAAATTCGATTGGTTTATCTTTTATATTTGTTCTTAATTTGGTCTAGCCATCTAGAGGGTGATCTGCCTCTCGATCTTATCATGGGCCATTAATTTTTTTAAGGTTGTTTCATCCCGTCATACTATATTCCCAAACTACTAGACCAGCGATTCCCAAACTTTTTTAGTGTTGTACCACCAAATACATTGTACCATTTTATGTACCACCTATTAACACATTGGCTGCAAATATGTGAATGACGTTCATAATATATGAAAGACGTTAAGATGACGTCCCAACCAATATGTTAAGCGGATAGAATATTTTTCCGTTGCATTTTATACATAATTTAAACATACATTTTTGCTGCAAAGCTGACTTACTTTGACTATCAAGGGGTCACTTTGTCTCACTCTTACGCTTAAGTAACAATATGGGCTACCGAAGAAGACCATGGGCAAAGTAAGACGATTTTATGCCGGCATGGGAAGGGAAAAAATAAAATTACAGCAGTAAATGAACATATTTCTTATTATATTTCCCTTATTAGCTCTCACTTATTTAACAACATTACCTACTATTCAACAACATCCTTCACATTTAATTATAATTAAGTGAACACTAATCATTATTAGTGAGAAGGATGTTGTTGCATATTTTTAGACAACTTATCAATATTAGGTTCAACATTAGATAAATCGGGTTCTAAATCAAGTTTATTCCTGTATGTACTTTTAATATACAACATTGAAGAAAACCCTTTTTCGCACAAATACGTCGTGGGAAAAGGCATAAAATATTCTAAAGCCTGTTTCGCCAGGGAAGGGTATTCAGAAACTCTCCTTGCCCAAAATTCACCGAGATCAGAAACCTTAAATTCCATTTTTAGTTCGCCATCGCATGATAATTCAATCAATTTTTCTTGATCGGCTGCATTTAAATTGGTTGGCAATTCTGCAAGAAATGGATTTCGTATCCAATCAAATTCCGTAAAATTTTCTATATTAAAATACTTATTGAATTGTTCCAACAGTTTATTATCATTGTTAATATCAATTTTATTTTCTGTAAGAAAATTTCCCAGTGTTGCAAAATGTTGGAGTACATTACTTTTAAGATTGAAGTTCACAAGTTCAAGTTTCTTTATGAAAGATGAACAAAAAAACGAGTTCTATGTTTACCTTGTAAGCCTAGGTTGAAATCAATTTGTCTGTCAAATTTCATTAGTGAACTTCTCTTTCAGTGGATGATTTTGTTTAGTTAAAAATATTTGAACTTCAGATCTAAGCTCAAATAACCTTGATAGCACTTTGCCTCTCGACAACCATCTAACTTCTGTATGTAAACGCAGATTATCATGAATACTTCCCGTTTCTGAACACAAAATCCGAAACAGCATTGCATCATCAAGAGCGAATCCTAATTCATCTGGCATCTCCTTAGCTGCCAAAGCTTGTCTATTTATGCTGCAATGAATAAAAACACAATCTGGTGCTACTTCTTTAATTCTGGTTACCACACCACCGTATTTCCCCGTCATTGCGCGTGCTCCATCGGAACATATACCTACGCACTTCAGCCAATCAAAGCCGTGTTTTACAATAAAATTGTTGACTTTATTAAATATTTCAACTGATGTTGTTGAAGAAGTAAGAGGTTCACAAAATAGAAATTCTTCTTTCATTTGATTATCGTATAAAAGCGAAAATATGCTAGCAGTACTTTCGTCCATTTGCAAAGCGAAAAAAGGACTAGACTTTATCTGATCCTTGATGTCATTAGCCATTAATTCTATTCTACGGCTTACAGTGTTATTAAAAAGTGGAACAGATTCCAACTGTGCAGCTTGCTATTCTCCCAAAACACAATTGACAATGTCCTTAGCGGCTGGCAGTATAAGTTTTTCTCCGATAGTGTACGGTTTTCCACACTTAGCAATTCGTAAACTTACCAAAGCTTTAACATCATTTTTGTTGCTTTCAGAAAACGAAGTCATTTTTTTTGCCCTCTTGTAAGCACTACCTCTCTTCTTTGAAAAAATTCAAATGGTTTTTCCAGTAAGCTGCCATGCTTTAAATTAAAATGACTTTGCAGCAAAGATGGCTTCATGGAGTTGTTAGAAAAAACCTCATAACATATTACGCACTGTGGACGTGATTCGACGTTGATATCCATACATGAAACTCCAAATTTCAAATAATTGGAATCATAACGTCGTGTAACAGTTTTTTGCTTTTTATCAGGATTTACATCAGCTTTCGTCACGTTGTTAAAATTCTGCGCTATTAAATTAGTGCCGGAAGTAGATAGTACATCACTTGGTTTTGAAACAGGACACTTTTCTGGAGATTCAAGTCGTCTCTTTAACCATTTATCCACTTTGATTGATACAATATGTAGGTAAAATTTACGTTGTTTACAAGGTAACACAAACGTATAAACTTCGTTAGTAAAAAACAGATTAACTAAACAACAACTGCTTATTATTGCCATCTATTAAAATGCAATTATATTAAAAACTATTAGTAGTTTTTGAATCGCATTATAGGGGATTTACTGTACTAAAAATGATCTTACAGGTGTGACAAACAACCACACGATTTTTGTAATTCTTAGTTATATGCAACTAACATTAAATATTAATCTTCGAATTTTGGGACTTTAAACTGAACAATTATTGTTTATTTTAAGTATTGTGTGTGTACCACCGGTGGTACATGTACCACAGATTGGGAACCGCTGTACTAGACAATTCTGTATCTGTGTATAGTTTCTGCGTTTGTTCTTCCACTTATACCACTGCATTCCCCCACAAATCATTCAGGAACAACATGGTTTCCTACGTGGACGGTCGGTAGAAACAAACTTGGTTAAATTCGTTAATTATGTTCAGAAGTCCATGAATGACTATCCCCGGGTTGATACTATTTATACAGACTTTAGTAAGCTCTTCGACAAAATACATTACAAAATTCTTTTGGAAAAACTTAATAAATTTAACGTACTGAATAGCTTACTATTATGGGTAGCTTCTCTTATCCCTGACAGACGCCAAGCAATGAATGTTTCCCATATTAAATCTGGCGTGCCTCAGGGCAGTCATCTTGGACCAATTTTATTCTTAATTGATATCAATGATATTAATGAATGTTTTTACCACTCCATTTTTTTGCTTTACGCGGATGACTGTAAAATTTTTTCCACGATTAGTTCCATATCCGACAGCTTGATGCTTGAGGAGGATCTTGAACGTCTGCAAGACTATTGCTTCAAAAACTATTTGCTTCTGAATTACGATAAGTGCTATCTAATTACATTTAGTAGAAAAAGATATCCACAGCATTTGATATATAGCTTACTGGTGTCGTCTCTATCTGCTATGGGCTTTGCCCCTGAGTGCGTTACTTGGTTTAGATCATACCTTTCTCAACGTTTCTTTTGTGTGCGAGAAACTTTATCTTCTTCTTCTGTATTTCAAAGTCATAGTGGTGTGCCTCAGGGAAGTGTATTGGGTCCATTACTCTTTTCAATTTTTATAAACAGTGTTACCAAATTCATTTCATGCAACTATCATTTATATGCGGATGATCTTCAAATCTATACATTTACAATTGTGAATGAGCTCCCGGTATCCATGGCGCGGCTTAATGATGATCTGTCCAGGATACTTCACTGGTCTAAATGTTTTGGCCTGAGTTTAAATATTGCCAAGACGCAAGCTAGAGCATTCGGCTCAAAACCTTTACTTGCAAAATTTTACTCTTCCAATGATACGCAACTAATAGTCGGTGACAATGTTATACATTTCACCAATACGGTCAAAAACTTGGGGCTGACAATGGACTCAGCGCTGTCTTGGCGGTATCAGATTCAGTCTGTTTGTAGGAAGGTCTATTTTTGTTTTCATTCGTTGCGTAAACTTGGTTGTTTTCTTCCCCTTGCTGTCCGTCGTAATCTCTGTTACTCATTAATACTTCCCCACATAGATTATGCTGATGCTGTGTATCCCGACCTGGCAATTACCCTCCGTAACAAATTAGAAAGATTGCAGAACAACTGTCTACGCTTTATTTTTGACCTGGGTAAGTACGACCATGTTACGCAATATCGTAATCACCTTCAAATGTTGACTGTCGAAAAGCGCAGATCATTCCATATACTGACAACGCTGTATAAGATACTTTCTTCTCGGACCCCAGGATACTTGTACACGAACTTTCAGTTCATGTCGTCTCGCGGTCTGCCTACTAGAGCACAGTCTGATACGTTACTCATATTTCCCATTCATCGCACCGTGAGATATCATGGATCTTTCACGGTGCAGGCTATAAAGCTTTGGAATAGTTTACCCATGGCAATACGCAACACTCGTAGTTTTCTGACATTTAAGGTCTGCTTAAGGGATTATCTATTATCATTACAATTATCGGAATCTAACTATTGATATCGCCTGCTTCTCTCCTCTTTTTCTTTCTCTTCCTCTCTATCAACTGTACTCGTTGTGTTGTTTTTCCTCTTTGCTCTTTTTCTTCTTTTTGCTTAAATGTTGAATTATTTATATAGCCATATTGATTTTTTTTTTACATACGTTCCTGGTTGGGTTTTTGGAAGACATCGCCTTTGGCGATAAACTGACCTTTTGTCAACATGCATTACTTATTCATTTATGTATACATATATATTATTTTTCTCTTGTATTAACTATGTGGCAATAAACTTATTATTATTATTATTAAAGAGATATCCTAAAAATTTTAAGTATTCTTAAGTAAGTAAGTACTTCTTAAATTCTGTAGCCACATAGATGCGGTTGTATCGGACTAAACGGTTAGGTTTTATTATTCGTCTAACCTCTTGCTTTACCAATATGCGGAGCATCCTTTCCTTGTATACGGCGTACGTCTGTAGCGTTTTGAATTTTGCCTCAGTTATTTCGTATTCCGTGTATGTGGATCAAATTGAGGCTTTGCAGAGGAGGTTTTTGAGATATTTGGCCCACAAATTTAATCTCCCTTATTGTACATATGCCCAGCGCTGGTTGGTGTTTGGGATCCCTTCGTTGAAGGGTCGTCGCTGAGTATTTGTATTTATATGATGTTCTTATACAGATTAGTCTGCGGTCGGTGACTTCGAACCAGTTTCTGAAGAAGGTTGCAACATGGCATCCGAAACGTCAAACCTTTTTTCAAAAGACGCAAGGCAAAACCCGAAAGTTTCTAGTGTTAGTTCTAGTTTTAGTTCTAATTTTAGTTCAATTCACACCGGCCGTGAAAGCCTTCGTACTTATATAATTATCCTATTTTTTTGGTGTGAAAATCAAATATGGCGTTCATAAGAAAAAATAAACCTGACCTCTAGTTGTGTCATGACATTTTTCATAAAAAGTTGCTTTAAGAATGTTTTTTCAGATTCACGAAAAAACGAAAAATAAAGAGTCATTTTTTTGGTTTTTCGGCCATATTTTAAAAACTGAAACGACTAGATCCAAAAAGTTTGTTGAAAAATGATGACCTCTAAGATACGCAACTTTACCCCATTTAACCATTTCTGTATATCTTATAGTTTCTGAGATCGCAATGGTGGGGGTCGAATTTGAATTACCCTCTATATATATACAGGGTCATCCACGATGACCGTCCATTAGAATTTTACAGGGTTCTGGCCAAAATAAAAATTTAAAAATCCAGATTTAAATATTATCAATTGCGTTCTCTTCGACTAAAATATTTTCAGATATCTAACACTTCCGGTTATACCGGAAGTCGCCACCGACTTTATTTTTTTAAATGGAACACTCTGTATATTTTTACATATTTGGATTTGTCTGTTTTCAAGGTTAATAAATAATTTTACTTTTTGCAGTTTGTTTCGGCCGTTCTCGAGTTATTCGAATTTTTCTAGAAAAATCTGCTCCAGCAGACGTTTGTTCAAAAAATCAGAGAACACTCGATTTTTGGGATATCAATTTAGGATTCTGAACATGCTTAAGCAACATGATGGAGTATGTTTTGGTGCCGAGTACGGCTATCTAAAACGTTTAGTCACTTTCCTATGGCATGTTACTTTTTCAAAACTTGGAAGTACCATAACTTCATTTTTTTAAATGGCACACCCCATATTTTATTACTTAGTCGTCTTCGGTGTCTCATTTTACATCTTTTATATCCCATATGTCCAATACCTAACATTTATAGTTTGGGAGATAATTAGGGTTTTTTGAAAAATGCACACATATCGATATTTAACCTAGTGTAACCTAGTGGATAACCATATGGAAGGATGCAACCTTCTTCAGAAACTGGTTCGAAGTCTTCGAATGTTAGTTCTAGTTTTAGTTCTAATTTTAGTTTAATTCACACCAGGCATGAAAGCCTTCGTACTTATAACTTTTCTGACAGTATACTTTTTGGCTTTTTCTTCTTAAATTCTTATTCTCGGTACTTTTTTAAGCAAAAACGGTACTCTTATCAAAATGCGCTAAAGTTGATCATTTTCAAGATAATCCGCTTTTTATTATTCGATATAGACCAATTTTTATTGTTAAAGATAGGTATAATACTGTTTGCCATTGAAACAAAGTAGGCAAGTTCACTAATGTTTTAGTTTATTGTATCAAGTGTCAAATCACCAGTAGTTGTTGATCAGTGTTAAATTAATTTTTCTTATTTGTTGACGTGTTAAATTCAATTTTCTTGTTTATTAACGTGCTAAATTCATTACTCTTTTTCCTAATCGTGTTAAATAGTTTTTTTTATTTTTAAATTTTTTGTTTGCTGGTAAAAACTT